AGTTCAAAATATATGAACTTCATATATTCATTGTATCTCATTTATCACTTTCACGGGTTTATTACGAATCAACTTAACGGCCTGTTCCCAGTTGGCTTGTTAGCTCAAATGGTAGAGCGCTGCACTAGTATCGCAGAGGTCAGTGGTTCGAATCCCGTACAGGCCTGATTTTTTTCAGGTCTGATTTTCGCTATTGTATAAATAGCGCTCTCTACTGCGAGGATCGTGCATCATACGTATAAATGTGATTGTTACTTATGTAAATAGTAGTGTGGTGTACTGTTTATAATACGACACTATTTGTTTTTATTTATAGTATTTACTTATTTATTTACTTAATTTTCTTTCTCTTTCTCGGAGAAATTAGCTATACAGCTACTCTTGTAAATCCGAGGTGAACTAAAGGTGATGTATGTATATATGTATGTATGTATGCATGCATGCATGCATGCATGCATGTATGTATGTATGTATGTATGTATGTATGTATGTATGTATGTATGTATGTAGCTGCCTAATTCCTGTTGGGGTAACACCTCTTTACTTGAATCTAGCAATAGCTGAGATTTAATTGCGTTTCCTTGCAATTGGGTCACTAAATAACTGAACATTATCACCGATGACTGAACAGCGTAGTAGCTCAGATGTATCTGATTTCCTATATGTTTCCATTATTTAGCCTGTGCTGCAGACTGTCTAAAACGTTTAGTTAGAGTCACTGAGAGGAAAATGTATTTTTGACCGTATTCGGGAACAAAATACCTTTCTTCAGTCTAGTCATCAGAGGGTCTTTCCGTGAAAACCACAGAATTTAGGATGTATCATAAATGTACAATCATTACAAAACTATTCCCTTTATGATAGGGTGGTTCATTTAATACATGAAAAAAGGTACTGGACAAGAGTCATATTTCCCCCAAAGGGCACCCCGATGGTCTGACTTATTAAGTAAGTAATTTAATTAACTTGGTCATGTAACGTGTATTACTTTAAATTTAGTCGACCTGTCTGTGAATGGTTTATTCGATACCTTAATAGCAGCATAGGCTTTACAATGTTAGTAAGGTTGAGATCGGACGTCAGCATTATCAGGTGCCTTCCACCCACCCCACCCCAAGGGAGGACATCCATCACACAGTAATTTCGGGCGTGGGAAATTAACGTCTCCTACCCCTAACCCTGCAGGAGACAGACCTCCATTTATTCGTCCTTATCCTTACTAGAATATCTATCAATTCCTTGATATCATAGAAAGGTAGCAAATTCTCCTCAGTTATTTTAAGACCATGAGAATTGGTCCGGCCGGGGCTCGAACCCTCGACCTCCCGCACAACACAATCCGGCGCTCTAACCAATTGAGCTAACCAGGAGGCGGTGTAATTTAATCAGTATGTCTAATCAGTATGCCTAATCAGTTTTAATGCGCTCTAAGCCGTGTATTGACATGAATTTCAAAATCCAGGATGGCGGACAATGTGGTCCTTTGAGCTCAGCAATTTTGTTTATTGTCCATCATTGAAATTCCATATCTTAACCGTTTTGAGACTGAAAGGAACAGTTCTACCCAAGCCATTTTAGTTTCGTTTCGTCGAAAGATACCAAGAAAGAGAAAGTAGAGTTTTCCTCCTGTGCAAGAAATTTCAGTTGTGCACTTTGTGTGCCAAACTAAGAGAGTATGGACAAAATGTGAAACACTAGCTTTCTTTTCTTGAGTCTGCATTGCGTGACAAAACTGATAAAAACAATGTCACAGTATTACCATTTCTCGGAAATCTTGTATTCGCCGAATTATCACCCTGAAACAAACAACGTTTGCTGATAACCGAGAACTGAGCTTTTGGAGAAGAAATAGTTCAGAAGGTTGAGACATTATGGCTGATAGGTCGAATAAGACCATTTGTCTCTTCAATTGCGATGGAACGTACAACCTAGATGTTGTTAAAGCCTTCCTGATGGAAATGAATGAGAAACACGGCTTCAACTTCGCAATTGGGAAGCACAACTTTGGATTGCAACAAATGACTGATTTTTGTGAAAACACAATTCCTCAAATTCACATGGATTATGCTGTTTTTGCCTTACACGCGCACGAGTCTCGTCTCTCGATCAACGAAGATAATGCAGGGATTGGCTACGCGAAGGTCTATAGAGCTTTGTTAGAGGCCACAAGTAAGTTAGGCTAAAAATCTGTTTTATCTAACGGGTATGGATGGCATTAAAACTAGACAACAGACAGAGAAAAATCTTCATCATGTTATTAACTGTTAAAGGTGAGATTAATTCGTTTGGTAAAAGATGATATTCACAAACACGTTACTTTCTCTTTCGAGCCGTTGTCACACACTATAAAGCGGAAGCAGTTTAGGGTCTTGTTTTTGTTCGTCACTTGATCGATTTATCCTGTGGAAACGAAATGACATTTTCATGATATAACATTTGCTTTATTGCGCTTTGTCAGAAGAATCACGAACGGTCAACAAATCCAAGTCAGCGAATAAGAACGTCAGAAAAACGTGTGGTTTCTTGGAAAAAAGGGGGAACCACATAATTCCAATTTCATTTACCATCAAAACTTCGAAGAATGAATAAATGAAACCATATCGATGTATTTCTTCAAATAATATCGATATAAATACAAGTATTCTGAAATTGTATTTTCCTTTAACAATGAGACGTGGCTTAGTTTACGAGTGACACAAATTAAAGAACTTGATAGTGGCAAGAGAAAGACAGACTGCAAAAAATCGCACACTATGATGAATATGATTTATTGGATGGTATCTAATCTATTTTTAAACCATTGTTTACAGAGAACAAGGTGTTGATAGTCATTGGCGGAGATAACAAATACAGAAATGACGACGAAGAAGAACGGGCTGTTATCTCACGCTGGGCACGAGGGAAAGTGGCGTCACAGTTTGCTGAGGAGTATCTTGATGGAAGAATAAGCTTCATTTTTTCTTGGAACAAGGGGCATAGAGAAATCCATGAGGAGGCACTGTTGCATTTCTTTGATCCAAGCAAACATGGTACAAAGTTTGAACACCAACCCAGACAAAAACCAACTAACGACCGCGAGGTAAGACTTAATTAAGCGACATTCGCCAATTGTAAGTCTGAAAAAAATATTTTTCGAAGTAGGAAACTCGAAATTATAGTTGAACTTTCTACGCAAGCTGACTGTCCTCGATTTCTGGCCATGTATAGCTTGTTAAGGGATAAATTTAGGCACTCTTTGAAAGCTATGAAATAAGCCAGTTGTTGTTAAGATGTTGTGATCCCTGTATTTGGTTGGTAAAAAAATTAATTACGCAGTGTTCTTTAGTTGGAGTCGAGAAATTAAATTCAAATTACGTTTGGAAATATTCTTTCGCGTGCGTGACAAAACAAGGTCACTGATCATGATACGATCGTCAAGACAAGAAAGTGTCCTCACTACACATAAGAAAAAAATTAAACATAGCAATGACTACGCTAACGATAGTGATAGGCATAGTAACAAAAATAAAACGATTTTACCCTGTTATGTAGTTGTTATTTAGTATATAACACCTAGGGTCCAGTTGTTCGAAGGCCGACTAGCGCTAACTTAGGGTTAAATTTAATCCAGGTTTCTATATTCCTCTATTCAAAAGCCGTTTTGGGATAATTTTCTCAATGCTTTTCCGAGCATTCAATCATAAAATTGTAGACAAATGGAATTGAACTAAATTTTCTTTTAAAGCTTTTAGAACCGAAAGCATATTTCATTCTAAGCCTGGGTTATCTTAACCTAGCTTTGAACAACCCGGCCCAGGTGAATAGTGCTTTTTGTGCGTGATGATTGGTTAGTCCGGAGGTGTCTTGCAAGCACTCTTCACCTCTAATCGGTTGAATGGGTAAGAATCAAAAGTTTAATTTCCACCCATTTTTCGGTAAATTGATAAAATTAAAATAAATCTTTGTTTCCTTGTGGTTTATTTTAAAAAAATTATTTACCTTGGTGTTGGTGAAATTAGTGGATATTTGTCACCACTTAAATGATTAATTGTTAACTTTACAAAGATGTGGCTCACAGATAGGCTGAGAAAGATGAGTTATTTCATAGCAACTATTTAAATACCATTTAGGAATCGCGTGGAAATACCAAGGTAATACCTCTGAAAAAAGGAACTACAGAGAAAGAAAAATCCACAAGTGAGGTAGGAGATTACTGGGTTAGTCCACCTATAAAATTGATATTTGGTAACCAGACCTAGAGCTAGTGCTAAACAATACGAGAACCAAAGTTAGCCAAACATTTGAAGAAAAGGTTTACCTACGTCATGATGTGCGTGTTCTGGTCGAAAGGAAGGATACCTGGAGATTGGATTAGGCTCTGAGCAAGTCTTCGGAAAAGATCACAACAATTTTAAAGGTCATAGACTATAGGAAGCTTCGCACGATAGGGTTGTAAGGATATCAGAAAGTTACGTAAAGAGAGTGAGTAAAAACTATTTTTTTTTAAATATCCAACATGACGGTCCATGGGTTGTCAGGGGTTTTGGTTCTCATTTTTGTATTTTTATACTTTTTAGTATAACATGAGAAAGTTAAATTACTTGACCGGCAATTTCGTTTTTGTCTTGCAGACGGAAGTTGAGGATAAGAGACGTGGAAATGGAGAGAGAGAAAGGACATGGGAAAAAGAGACTAATAAGTTGAGGGGTCCCCAAGAACGACACAAATACGGAGGTAATCGCCATTTTTAAGCTTTATGCCATCTGTAAAGAATTACGTATCTGGGAGATCTAGAGATTTTAACGTTCATTATTTCTCTGAACGGATTGAGACGTCCGCAAACTATTTAAAAAACCAGCAGACTATCCTCAGAGGTATGAGACATGTTGACACTCCATTTTGGCACTCCCCCATCTAGGTTACAGAAAATTCGGTGCCAAAAAAATTAAAATTGTGGAATTAAAGAAACTAATATGTAGGAAATTTCTTATTAACATGCGTTCAAGG